GGAAAAGTATGCTAAAATATGAGGGTGGGAAAATCTGTTTTTCTGGACTGGAGCAGGCCTTCTTCAGTTATCCTGGAAAAGCTTCCTATCCCTTCTCTTGTCATTTCTTTCACTGACCATAAACACTTCATCACTTAATCTAGTCAAAGTTTATATTTTAATTGGAAATAAAAAATAAGGATTGAGTGTGATGATGCTGTGACTTTTTAGAAAAGACTTCAGAAGAATCGGAATAATGATAGATCTGATGTTTACTTGAATGGCTGAAATGATGGTGGTGTATGTGACTACATAATCCCTGAATAAGAGTAGCTTGGAAAGACACTTGCTTGGGAATTTGCCACTTTTTCCTCTTGGGCTGTGAAGAACAGGCATGCAATTTGGTTATGTAACACTTTCAAGACATAATGTGGCAGTATTGCTCTTATTTACCAATGAAACTTGATGTTAAAACAATCTGAATATTTTCCTAGTTGTCTTGATACTGAGCGCTTCAACTGACATGCTCAGATATTTTCATTTACATAAAATTTGATCTTGATTTTTCTTTTGTATTTGCTTTTTGTCAATAATTCAAAAGCAAATATCTCCTAAAATGTAAGAATTACACCACAGTAGCAATACAGAATGTCCCTTGTCCAATCCACAACTTAAAGAGCTCAGAAATCTTGGAAGCATAAGGATAGCAAGAAAAAGTTGCTTAAGTGCTGCACCATGAGCACCTACAGAAACCTAATGAAGTGAATGGGGGTCTTTTTATTAGTCAACGGTCTTTAAACAAGGCCTTTGAGGGCCTCATAAGAAACGTAAGATTAGAGAAAGATTTGAACTGAGCAAGTATTATTTATCTCATTTGTTAATAGAAAAAAGATAAACGGAGAGGGAGTAGATAAGATTTGTCACTGTGAACCCCACATTTTGGGAAAGTGGAAATATAGTTGGGAGTTGGATGGTGCAGAGTGAGATACATTGCATTTCCCTTATGCTAGGCAGGCTTCCTGTGTTCTTTGAAGTAATCATTCCAGGGGATGTAGCTGTGAATTTGTTTGTTGGCATCTCACATGGGTTATACCATGAGGAGGGGCTTGTATTTGCCGGAAGCCCCATACTAGTGTCACTAGTGTCTACTGCAGGATGTTTTCCGTCAGCAAGTCCTTTAGACAGCCTTTCCAGTCTTTGACCAATGCTGGTTATTGGGTTGAACTGGCTCTATCAGCCTACAGCAGACAGTAGGTTGCCATCTCAAAATCCCTTTTTATAGACTTTCCTTCTAGAGTCAGAAAATGAAGTCTGCAAGGGACCTCAGGAGGCCATCTCATCCAACCCCTTGCTCACAGCAAGATCATTCCTATTTAAACAATCCCTGAATGAATCCAATTCATCAGGTTTAAATAATTCTTTTTATTATTTTTACATTTACTAGTAAATTATTAAAGGTTTTTTATTGTGCTACTTGTCAGATCTTTTATTTTTTTGTTTATCATTATAAGATTTTTTCTAATATGATTGCATCTCTATGCAAATGTAATCTGACAGACAAAACACTAGAGCTAATAATATTTTAAGGCTTTTTTAAACCAAAGCTTACATGGGGACTCCATGCTCAACAATGCATTAAGGGAAAGCCTCCAAAGGAAATTGTAGCTTTCCACAAAGTTCAAACATTTAAAGGCCTAGAAATTATAAGTCAATACTATGCCTGATAAAACAAGGAAAAGGTCAGTAGAAACACCTGAATTTCCAAAAAACCTTCATCTGATTTGCAAAAACTCTTCAGAAAGAACCTGCTTAGTCATAATTGCAGGTTTTGTGTTTAATTTGGGTGTTAGTGTCAGAAAATTGATTTGATCCTTATTGGCATCTTAAAATTTCTTGTCAGGGAACTTGCTTAGGTTTTTAAATAAATCAGGGAACGTTTTGTCTGATTTCCTTCATGCTTTCCAGGAAAACTCTAGTGTGCCAGGATTCAAGAAGAATAGTTAAGTTTTTGCAGGTACAAGACAAAAATTAGCTATATAATTAAATGAGAGAAACAGTCTTAACCATGTTTTCTCCCTTTTGTCTCCATACCAAAGGCAAAAACATAAAATATGTAGTCCACCCTTAAAGAAATCCAAATACAATGACAATCCATGAAGCTTGAGAAATACTGTATAGAAAAGTGTCAGACAAATGTATTAATAAGATGTACAGCTCTAGATTGTGGATTGAGATGGCATCACAATGCAACTTTCTCAGCAAATTTTGAAAGGCAAAAATAACAGAATACTTTTTCCTTGAATAAATAACAGTTTAATTACATTATAGAAATAAAATATGATATGGTAGTAATACATTGGAAATATTACAGAAATACTATTCTGCTACTGGTAGTTAAATGGTCAAAGCTAGTTTTCATGACAGTCTTACCAGTACTTGTGTACAAAGTATTATACAAGTTGCTAACAGGAATATATTGCAGCAGCTGCAAGGATGTTACCAGCTCAAACAAACATCTAATGATACAATATTCTTCTAAGAGGAAGTAATAATGTTAGATTTACAGACTAAAGAATTATGTTCTCCACTTTGAAACATTGGAAATAAAAAGCTCAGGTAATCCAATTTCTTTACTTCATATTATCAAAAGGAAAGACTTTCCTTTCTTTATGACATTGCATCCCAAGAGACCCTGTAAACAGTTTGTTCATAAGGTAGCTTTTCAGATGTCACAGCAACTTCAACATTTATCCTATTCTAAAATTACAGACTTTTGAGGCCACTGCTTGTACAGCTGTCTTTTCATTATTATTATTATTATTATTTTTCACTTATTTACATACATTCAGCCCAAAAAAATTAGAAAAAAATGTTCTATCTTATGGCAGACATTTTCATCAGAAGGCCAGTGCAAGAAAACTCTGATAGTGATTGCACAGCACTGAGGAGATAATATACAAATATACAACTAAGCTGTTGAGAACCTAACTTTGCACGTGATACGGATGGTCTCATTTATAGATATATAACACTTAAGAGTTGATAAATACACAGAACTGTAACTAGAGTTATTCATTTTGTGAGGTTGTGGGTGGCTGTGAAATGCTATGTAGGTTGGCTGTGCTATCACCAGAAGAAAGTGGGCAGTTGCAAATTAGGATTACCTAAACCAGAAATTTAAGTACAGCTAATCTAGGAGCAGTAATTGATAATCTAATTAAATAATAGTTATAGCTCATGTATAGGTTGTAGGGACATATTTGCCACCTCATTTAATGAATGCATTTTTAAGTTGACAAACACTTCACAGAGCTTTTTAGAAAACTCCTATGTAAATGAAGGTATTCAATGACACATTAAAACATCACAGAATGCTATTTCTTATTATATCAGTAAGCACCAAATTTAGTGCCAAGACAGCCCCATTGCCCCATGTTTTGTCATGTAAAGTTTAGAACTTGAATGCACAACAGAAATCTATAAAATCTGCATTAAATTCACAAAACGACAATTTAAAAAAATGGCTCTTAAAGTACCTTTTAATTTGACAGTTATGTTTTCCCTAACAAACTGCTTTGGGATGAGCAGGTTATATTTGGAAAGGGAAAAAAAAGCTTCTATAATTAGGGTTCACTAGCAATCAAGCTAATCGTTGTTCTTTTACAGAGTACAGCACGCTTCTCACCTTCCACCTCTCACCTCTCAGGGGGTAAAGTGTCCTGACATGCCCACCAAGTTAAATGGGAGTGGTAGTAACTCTGCACCTTGCATGATTTGACTCTTAGGATGAGTCACAAGTCTTAAATTGATGGGCTAGAATCTCTCCTGTCTGGTACCTTACATAGCTATTTATACCTGTGCATGGCAGGAGAAAAATGCAGCTGTTCTGATTTGGATTTTACACAAATGTAAATGACTAGGCATGGAGTTAGACCTTTGACGCTCTGATCCGTGCAGGACCCTAGACAGGCAAAGGGCCCAAGGGGCCTCTATGTAATGTAAGCTCCCCTCCAGAACCCTGGGGAAGGCTGAAGTTGCCACTAGGTCTTTGGGGGCTATTGGCTGCTCTGACCTGCACCCAAATACCAGAGCTCTAAAAGGGTCACTCTGGAAGCTTGGGATCACCGTAGATCTAGCTGGGCTCCCCTTCCATAAGCAACATGACCAAGAGCTGGGTATGAGACATATGGCCTATGGAGCCATTTTCCTTCAGCCAAGTGGGTTCCTGGGGGACCCAGGAATTTGGGGTTATGGCACCTTTGGTGGCAGGGGGCAAGTGATGGCTGTGCTGACACAGTGCTGCTTGCCTGCTGCTGCTAGGTCTGGATCTAGCCCACAAGGATCTGGTTTTTGGGCAGGGTGAGTTTGACACCCCTGCCCTAGAGCATGGAGGGCTGGACGGCAGCATGGTCTTTATTACACAAATAATAGGACAAGAGAGATCCTCCTATCCTGTCTTGGTGAACCCTTGAGCTGATAACTGGCCTAAACTAGTCAGAACAGGAAACAAGACAAAGCCGATGGTACTTGCCAGTAGGGAATCAGACTCAATGCATTTTATTCAGAATGAGCATTTCCACACCAGTGCGATTGTTTCATGAAATACTAAAACCCCCAGTTTTAGAGAAATTCCATCCTAAAATGGAACTGCATCTTTGAATCTACAGTTTTTCTTTCTTTGCCTTATATTTAAAGGTTTCAGGCTTCCATTGTCTTTTGTACCCTGTTTAACAGTGAGATGCAACTACATTTCCATTAGTTAATTTTAGAATCATAGAAAATTAGGGTTAGAAGGGACCTCAGAAAGTCATCTAGTCCAACCCCCTGCTCAAAGCAGAACCATCATGACTAGACCATCCCAGCTAAGGCTTTGTCTAACTGGGTCTTAAAAACTTCCAAGGATTGAGGTTCCACAACCTCTCTGGGTAACTTGTTCCAGTGTTTTACTACCCTCCTAATGAGAAAGTTTTTCCTAATATCCAACCTAAACTTCCCTTGTTGTAACTTGAGACTATCACTCCTTGTTCTGTTATCTGCCACCACAGAGAACAGTCTAGCTCCATCCTCTTTTGAACCAAGGACTCAAGTAATACTCAAGGACTTTAAGAATAATTTTTTTTTTTTTTATCTTCAGCATTCACAATGTGTTTAAAGTACTGTAAAACACTGATTTTCAGTTGTCTATTTTTGTAAAACCAAAATGCTGTTTCCTCTAATACATGGATAAGTCTCCCAATATGGATTTGCTAGCATGTTCTGAATCTTAAAACCAGTTAATTTCATAACTAGTCAGGTGGAAGAGCTCAGTTTTAGAAACAGAATTCATGTGCAAAGCACGCAACAAGAAATACAGCTTACGTTTGGTCATAGTTTCCTAGCCTAGTAAAATGACTCACACTTATTTAGAATACATACACATGCACACATTTTTGTGCACGTGCACACACACATACATGTACACACAGATATTTAATACTATACCCGCTCACACATAATAAAAAAGTCTAATCCTGGCAATACTTCCTCCTTTTTTTAGTAATGACTGGAGTTTGGCATCTCAGGCTTTGAATCTGTTTAATCTGGATATAGGAATGCAAACACACGTCAAGTATACATCAACTGCGCAGTGATAACATTACACAATGAGTCTGACACATGCTGTCTTCAGAAGTCCAGTGATAGCATGAGACCAAAAACAGTTGCCAGCTAAAGAAGCCAATATCCAGTACCTTCTCTTCTCAGTGTTCATATTCACATGTGCCCAAGAGAAAGGAAATAGTCTGTATAACAATAAATGTCTTTATGTTTATACGCAGTGGTATTTAAAAGTCTGAACCAATGCATTCCTTGCACTTACATACTTCTATATTCTCTTGTTGCTGTTATTCTTTACACCCTCAACAAAATTAATGGGGATTTCTAATGTCAAATAATTTTAGTAGAAGAAATACAAAGCCTTTCCTCTAAGTCCACAGAAGACCACTAAAAGTGTAAATTCCCAAAATAACTCATAGGAATTTTTCAAATACAGTTAAATGTTTTCAATGGGGTTTACATACCACATAATTCACATTTCCACATAAGTCTACCTTATCACTTTTTTAATTAGACAAATATCAATAACACATAATAAAAACAGCATACATTTCACAGGACAACACGTTTTACAAAACTGCTAAAACTCAGTACTGCCGCTTTTTGGGGGAAAAAAAACACCTCAAAACTTCTATTACTTACAGACATTTAATACATTTCACATTGCAATGAAAATTATGATTACAAGGCTTTTTCTTATTTGATGAAGTTGTTTTATGATGTCTTAGTTTTCAATTAGGTTTCACCATTTTTTAGCACAAACTTCTTAAGATTTTGCCAATTCCATATTTTCTATACATTCTTTCAGCAATTTGCTCTTTATTATTCAATCAACATTTTTAAGTGAAAATTGTTTTGTTTGAATCCCTAATTGTAAAACTTGGAGAGTTGGCTGATGGCAATGATTCTTAAAATGATCAGTAAACTTAAAAATGTTACAGATGAGGGAACAAACACTTTGAGTCTTTTTTTAAACTAATTTCTTTTCTCAGAATGCTGAGAGGTATTTGACTTACAATGCCTCTGCAGTTGTGTCCGTGGAGACAGACATGGTCACTTTGGCGATCTTAACTGTGCTCTTAATACAGCTTTCAGCAGCTCTGTGAACATTACCTGCATTGTTGGCATGCTTGTGTTGGCAGTCAGACTCCATACTGTTATCAAGAGGCTGTGCAGTCCCTTCACAAGTTGGAAACATACTCCGGAAAGCATGCCTCAAGTCCTTGCTCCTTAGAGCATAGATAATGGGATTCACTGTTGAATTCATCAAACAGAGCATGCTACAGAATGCGAAAACAGTCTTAATGAGCTTGTTCATTTTCCCAAAGACATCATACACCATAATTGCAAGTAAAGGGCCCCAGCATATGATTAAAACCACCAAAATAAGGACCAAGGTTTTGGCTAACCTGATGTCCATACGAGTTTGATCAGGTCTAGTGATGTGTACCTTACCATCCTCTGTAGTCTGAATTATTATGCTTTTTTGAGTGCCACGCTGAATCATTCTGACAGCATGGCTGTGAGCCTTCCACAATATATACATATAGGCATAGACGATGAACAGCAAGAGCACACTGGTGACTCCAATCCAGAACATCAGATAGGTCTCATCAATGAGAGGGAATATGTCTGAACAAACAGAATTGAGCTTCTTGCAGTTCCAGCCAAGCAGAGGAAGGACAGCTATTATGATAGCTATGGTCCACATCACACAGAATGCTACAACAGCCTTTGGTCTGGTAACAATCCTTTTGTAAGCTAATGGCCTGTGTATAGATATGTACCGGTCTATTGCAGTAAGGAAAAGGCTGCCTACTGAGGCAGTGAATGAGGCTGTAACTCCACCCAACTTGAACAGAAAAACATTAGGACTGTCTTTCCGATGGAAAACATGGAAATCGACAAAACTGTAGACAAAAATTACACTGCCCAGGAGGTCAGCTACTGCCAAGCTCCCAATGAAGTGGTAGGAGGGCCTGCACCTGAGGCTTCGGGAGTGCAGGATGACACAAAGCACTAGAAGATTCTCCAAAACGGTGAAGGTGCCCAAAGTAAGGGACAGCACTGCAATGGCCAGCTGCTGACTAGGGTTTAAAATCATAAAACACTCCATATCCATGAAGTTCTCTCCACACTGTATATTCTCATCATTATCCTTGAAGGATAGGGACTTGTTGTAAAATTCTGTAATATTGATCTGATCCGATGGAATGATACTTAATAGGGGATCATCTCCTGCCGTCATTTTTTCTTGGAAAGGATCACCCCTGAAGGAAGATAATGGGAATTTCTGTGGATAGTATCCTGGCTTGGAGGCCATGTCACCTTTAATATCTTCGTACTGGATATCGTTGGAACCCACGTAAAGCAGATCTGTTGTAATTGTGCGGAAAGTCGTGTCTGCGAGGCCATCTAGGATTGACTTCATAACCTCAGTCTTGTATTATATAGACTTCAGAGAGACTTGGGAAAAAAATACGTCTTAGGAAATCCTAAAGGGAAAAGATCAAACTAAATTAAGATAAATGGAGAGATCACGTCTACAAACAACTTAGCTGAGATGTGTCAAACAACATTTATCTTCTCCTGTCCTAAATCCAATTGAGCCTATGCCACCTCACTAGTCAGAATGAGTCAGAATGATCATTTCAAAACAAAACATCTAAAATACACTGAATGGCTATACACTAATAAGTGCCTGAAAAGTGGTGGAAAATATTCCATAGAGAATAGTTTTTATTTTCTATCATTTTTTTTCTCAGTAGCTTCACCAGAAATGTGGGGGGGTTTTCTAATTTTGAATGGAGGCATCCAATTTCAAAGACCTTCGTCTACCAATATTCTTTAGATGTTTCCATGGGGCAGCACCAATTGTCATTGCAGAGACTTCCCTAAACAGAATTATCATCCTTATCCTCACCAGCATCAGTGTTTTGATTTTGAAAGGTTCTGAGAGTTTGAAAATCTAAATGCATGGAAAGAATGAAGAAGGAATCGACCAATCAAGACTCCCATGTAAATACATGTTTCATTGTTCATCTTGCATTCCTATATATGTCCATCAGTAATCCAAGCTAGGGTAGCAAATGCACACTTGCTATTCTAAAATGTTTTATTTACAGATATATGAATTTGAAGCAGTCAAATTTTCATTATTCTGTTACTTTTTTATGCTAAGCTAGCCAAGGGAATTAGGATGGTCAGAATCCAGGAAAAAAAGAAAAAGAAGGATATTCTATACAAGCTCTGTCTGTCATTCCAGAAAGACCAAGACACTCTATTAAACAAATACAAGTGAAATAGTTAATAGCAAGATTTTGATTTGGATCAGTAGTCTGAAGTGTTAACACCTCTTAGAGGTGAACTGAAGCACTTCACACAGGCGCTAGACCTATAGGGCACTTCCATACATGCAGGGAGCCTGCTCCAGCATGCTGGAAATTCACTGCATTGGAGCACACTCCATTAATCATATCTGCTGGAGCACATAAGTTGATGTGCTCTGGCAGCCCTGTGCATCATGTGTATCAGCAATGCAGTGTACCTCTGTACTGAGCAAGTGGCGGTAGTGCACTCTTCACTCAAACACGTTCCATGTGCTTTAGTTCAAAGCGCAAAACCACCATTTTCTCAGCGCAGGGACATAGTGTGCTGCTGATACATGTGATGTGCAGGCACTTTAATTAGTACAGCTTGCTAATTAAAAAATGCCTGATGCCGTGTCAGGAGCACATGTAAAGATGCCCATAGGGTCTGATTCTCATTTATACCATGACCCATCTGCTCTACTTGGATAGCACAAAGGGGCCCTAAACACTTATGTAAAGGGCCCTTCTTACTGACAGAGCAGAAAATAAGAATCAGAGCCATTGTTTCTCTATATCTATATGAAGTTGTAATCAGACATTTAAATGGTTATCTCAGCAACTGTAAGAGGGTCTGTTTTTAAATGGAAGTTTAAACTCTGAAGAAGTTGTCCGAGCCACTAGCAAATTGCTAATACTGTGTAGTCGTGCCTTGACTTAATCTGATCACTTAGAAGCTGGCAATAAAACAATTAGAAAATGCGCAAGGGATTAGCTGACAAAAATCCAGAGAATGTAATTACTTCGACCCCTTAATGAGGGGAGTTGCCCATTTAAAACACATCTGCTCAGTTTTTCTTTAAAACAGGGTTGGTTTTCTTTCTCATGACAACACAAACACGTAAAATGACAGGAAACACAGAAACTCATTTAGCTAGCCAGGTATTTATACTGCACTTACGCTTTCCTACCTGAGCACTTAGGCCCTTGTCCAAAATCTACTGATATCAATAGGTGTCTACCTATTGATTTCAGTGGGCTTTGGATGGGTTCAGACTCCAAGATAGCCAATGTCAAAGGTAGGATATGCATCTACACTTCCACAGAACACTGCAGTCTTGGTGTTGTAAATATGGTGAAAGAATACATGTAACACTCAATATGAGACTATAACATAATAGAAAGTGGGTATGTGACATCTGTTGCTTTGTACAGGTAACTTATCTGGACAAGGTCATAAAGTTAGAAAACAGATACTCTTATAACAGATTGAGTAATTTAAATTCTGAAGGTCTGAGTGGGGAGCAATGGCGGAGGCAATGGTGAGGGAAGCAAACTTTCCTGAAGTGCACACTGAAATTGAATTATCATAATCTGTCATGCAAGGCATCATTCATCCAGAAGGTACTTGACAAGTGTTCACAGTAGATTTAGCATATTCTATACATTATAAAAATGATTTAGAAAATTAGCATATGTCTAATTCTGAAGTTAAATGTGGTAACTTTAGCAGAGCATAGCAATACCAGAAACAATTTAGCACAAATGAAGAAAATCCTGTTCATTTAAACCTTTATTTTTTTTCAACTAACTTGAGAGATTAAATTTCTCTTAAAAATATATATTTTATAAAATACAGACGATAACTGTAGTAACTAAAATATTCAGTTGGAATAATGCTTGTTTCTGTTATAGGGAAGACAACAGTTTTAACATTTAAAGCTGAAGCACAAAGTCAAGAAGATTGTGTTTGTCAAGATTTTAAATTTTTATGCAACTGTGCACTTCTACCAGACAATCAAATTACTATGGAGACAGTTTCTGCTACAGTCACATTAAGTATATATTTTTTCAGCATAAAGTACAGCCTTGGTTCATATCTTACCTTTGTTTGAAATACAAATGGAAAAACATGTATTTCTATGTGCACTTTCCAAGGTGTCAGTAGTGAGTTGTGTGACAATACCACTATACATGCATATGCTATGCTAACAGCATGGTTAATAGGATCATGAGTGGCAAATCCTACTTGGCAAATCCTACTCTGAATTTCATTTTTTTTGCTATTTCTACATTTAGATTATTACAGTAATTTCCACCTTATTGTCTTTGCATAGAGAGTTTTCTTCGAGAGTACTTTGGAGTTCATTAGTAATGTAGTTTAGGCTTTTGGGGATGCAGCTGACATTAATTTTGTTTTTGTTTGCTGCTGGGAATATCATAATTGGAAATCTCTAGCAGTATCTGTGGATGCACCTATTAAAATAGCAGTTGATTTTTATTAAAGTTGCAGTAAAACAGCCATTCCAGTGCTGCTGAGTTGTATTTTCCTGGGGTTTAGCTTGGTCTAATATAGGTGGTATTTTATCCTCAAATTGAAGCACTGATCTATATTTAACCAGTTGGAAATACTCCTCATTGTCAACTGGTGAAAACAGTGTCAAAGTTTATGGCTGTAGGGCTATGTACATGTTGGTGTTGTGTGATGTCCAGAAAAAGTTCAATGCTAACTCCACAAATGGGAAAAACTGGTAGTATCGCTGACAGCAGTTGGAAGGCTGAGAGGACTGATAATAAGTTATGTAGTCACCTACTTTCAAGCAGTTGGTTTAAATGCAACACAGACGAGTACTGAGAGACATGATCACCTGGTGATGATGATAAAAATAATAAATATGGGGATTTAAATATAATTTCCTAGCAGATGAGAGGCTATATTGCAAAAATCACCAGTACATTTCGGGCGTTGTCAGCAAATTCAAGTGTGAGACAAGGCTTTCCAGTTCAGCTCAAGTCCCTCCAGAACAGTGCAGAGACATGCTGGTGAGGCAGTATGCGAAATCTTGTATTGCTACTTCCTGTGCTGTCTGAACCTATTCTGAAAATAGAGGAATTCAGTCTCCAAAGCTCTTAGCCTGGCACCTTAAATGGGCTTTTTATGCTCACTTTTTCAAATGGAAAAAATGATTAAAGGTGAGCAGCAGACAAACACTGGTGCCGACACTCAACATTTTAGTGCAGTTGTGTAACTATGAGCAGCCAGTCACAGTAAATAATACATTCTATTTCCAGACAAAGGTTGAACAATTAACACTTAAAACTAATCAGGACTTCCTTTTTTTCTTTCCCCAGCTGCACACTACTATAGGCTATATCCCTCTTTCCACAAACCTGTGGCTTTTGTCTTGCGCCTGCCACTAGGTGTAGCTTTTGCAGACATATTGGTCATTTATCTTTTGGTGACTTTGTTTAACAATTCTTTTTTTTTCCCCACCTGCATTATTAGGGCTTAATTGTGCAAGATGATGAGTACCCACATCTTCTACTACAAGTTGTGGAGACTCAACACTCTGGAGGACTCAGCCTATAAACAGCTGAATTATTAAAGTGCAAGGAGCAAATCTTGCTTCTGCCCCTGGCTCTGCAGCTATAGAAAACCTGTTAGAAGACCTCTAGATGCTACTAAAATCCATAAACTAACAGCAGTAGTTACTGCAGAATGCCTGACTGACTCACTCATGGTTTGCACAGAGGAGGATTATCTCTCTCCCCAACCCTTCTGTAAGTCTGCAGGCAAGGCCTATTCACTTAGGGGAGAAGACCTGGCCTTCATCACAACAACAATTCTCTTATTATTTGAGGCAGGAAAGTTACTGAAGTTATCACCATTATCTACAACAGTTGCATTTTTAGTTATATTTTTCAAAGTAGGATAATCTACAGAGCAATTTTAATAACTTAATAAAATAGTAAATACTTGAATTTTTTCTTCAGAAAGTAGTTACAAGGACTATGATAATGTTACTGAAAGTGGCTATAAATGCTTACACTGGAACAAGTAGTCAAAATCAAAAGGGAAAAGTCCTAAGGGTCAAAACAAATATAATAATAAAAATAATGAGGATTCACTGGATTCCTTTTTAAGATACTTGGATTTTTATTTTTATACCCTACTTCTATGATATCAACTGCTAATTAAGCATAGGTCAAAGGGCAGCAGGGTACAGATGAACAGTAATTTGTATACAAAAGTCATATATTGCTCTTCATCTTAGGCTGTGAGAACTTTGGGTCAGGAATTGTATCTTATGTACTCAGACAGTGCTCAGCACAATAGGACCTCTACCTCAACTGGATCGAATGGATTTTACCATGGTAGAAATTACAATAAGTAGAGACATAGGATCTAAGAGTAAATGATAGCTT